AGGGGGAAAGAAGGGGGGGGGGGGCGGGGGGGGGGGGGGGGGGGGTACTCGTAGTCGTGCATGCCGTAGTCGGTTGACCTCGCATCCCTACAAAGCCGGGACGGAGCACGCCGGGTTCACACCGGACCAGTACTCTCACACCACCAAGCGCGAAGTGCCGTCAGGTATTCGGCGTGTCGCACGAGGGTGTGCTGCATCCTACTCAGGGTGTTCGGCATCTTGTGCTTACTTCATTGCGTACGGATGAAAGCTGCGTATGACTTAATTTTGTTTCTGGTGCTTTCACTTTCAGATACAGTTGTAAGCACTGTGTAACTGCCTCGAGGGTGCTTGACCATTCTAACACAACGTGGTGCGACTATCCCCTTTGCGAGGAGTGAGAGATTTCGACCCAGCACAACATAATGTACTCCACCACCATTCATGGTTACAGCAACAAAGAAATAAAAGGCGGAAACCTGGTTGCCGAGATCTCGAAGGGATTGGCTTGTTTTTCAACATCGCAGGCCATCCTTTCGAGAACCCAACCCCGATGACACACACCGGGGGGGCGGCGGGGGGCGAACTAATGGCGGCAAAACCAACTATTGTAGTCTGTACAAAAAAACTTTACACACAAACTACAAAACCTCGTTGACTCACCGGGGTCGCCATTCCGAAAGCGTTGAAGTCATCCGCCGAATTGCCGATAGGCAAGTTGATGAACTTGAGGTTCAAATCGTTGTGGATGACGTCAGCGCTCCTCATGTCTGGGTAATTCTCTTCTTCGCTGCCCGCTCGACGCCATCCGCCCTCCTTGAACGGATCCCGTCTTTTCACGAAGCGGTGTCCACGACGCGTGACAAACCCCTCCCCCACAAACGACCATCCCTCCCGCCGTGAACCCGCCCCGATCCACGGGCGAAGGTGTGCACCATCCCGCAACTCCGCTCGAGTAAAAACTTCTACCCGGTCAAGCACCTGCGTGATTTCGCGAATATCCGTCTCAGATGCATCTCCCACCTCTTCCCAAACTCGAACCACCCCATCCTGCACAAAAGCAGCGTCGTCGTGGGCCACTCCGAGCACTTCATGGGCATCCCGGAAAAGTCGCACGGTGACCACCAGTCGCCTACTCTCTTGAACGAAGAACGTCGCTGTTATTCGGCAGGGCATCTGAAGCGGTTCCGGCGAGCCTTCCTCTCGCAAGTCACACATGACGACATCCCCTATGTACACCTTTGTGCGAGCCTGAGCGAGGAAACCATCGAAGTTGTGCTGTGGCATGCGTTGTACCAAGGTTCCGTGCATGTTGTTGCGCCTAGCGTTACGGGCAGGACGTGTCGGGAGTGGGAAAAGATACTCGCCCGCTAACCTACGGTCCAGTCCCTCTTCTTTTGCCACCACCGTGCCGCCGGGGTTGGCAAATATCTCCTCCATGTTAGATCTCGACTTCAGCATGAAATCGAGGACCTGTGTAATGGGGATGTCATACACCTTCGCTGTGGTTCGAGCACCACTTGTTTTCTTGGCGGGTTTGGCCACGACATCGCGCACCCACACTTCAAAGAGAGGGAGGAACTCGCGCATCCGAGAAACGAACTTTTGGCCGTTCTCGGGGACGTCAGCGGTGTCAAACCCTCTCCCCTCCCCGGCCCCGTCGCCCGGCTGCCCATCGACGAACGTCAAGATGTCGAACAAATCCGTCATTCCCGTCCCCGTTGACGCGCGCTGGCAATAACCGCCCGCCTGCTGCTGTCCTTGTGTTCCAAATGCTTTCTTCCCTGGATCTCCTTGGCACGCGCGGGCAAAAACCGCCCTGCTGCTGCTGCCCTTGTATTCCAAACCCTGTTCCCTGGATCTCCTTGACGAGCGCGAGCAAACACCGCCCTGCTGCTGTCCTTGTATTCCGGTGCCTACCTCCCGAACCTTTCCCTACCGACGTCAGCTGACTCCACGATATCGTGTTTGGGGTGTCGGCGCGTGTACTATGTTATCACGCTCGCGGGCTGTTGTCGAGAGCGTGTTGCACAAAGGAGTGACTCAAGTTCCTTGCTTGTTAGAGAGTTTAACGAGTGACAGACGTGAGCAAGAAGAGGCAAAGCCTGCTGCACCAAGTCAGTCTATCATACCCATATCTATCTCATCTGCGCAACCCCCTCGGAGATCTCGGAGAATTGTATCCTGCCGAGTACACACACAAACATTTTTCTAGACCCAGAGCCGTCTCTACTTCTTCCTGATGGCGCCAACAGCAATGCGCTGGTTGGGTGCACAACAGGGTCACGATGTCTGGACCAGTGGCGACTGCAGGGAAAGCGGTTGCGTCGCTTCCTGCTGTGCCTGCGCGCCAAGGAAAATGCGGTGTTGGGTCATTTCTAGGTTTACGGTATCAAAACTTAAACGTCTGCGCACCCCACTCGGACGCGATATTAGTACTTCATTTCAAAGCTCTCCACCCCAGTTATCTTTCACTCTCGGGACACTTTTGGCCAGGTTCTGCTCCCATGGAGCCTGCTCTGCCTGAAGGCAGGGTACTTTCAGCGGGGCGGGGGGATAAGGCTGTCTCAAAAACATCCTCAATTTTACCAAAATGTACTGGGCAACTGCTGTTTACAACCAAATTCGCCGCTGCCTTCGGAATTAGTTGGGCATACAACTGCAATACTCTGTGACAAAAACCCGCATTGATCGGCAGCCTGCACTCGCCGTTCGAAGGAGTTGATGCGTACCTGGCCCTTGTCATGCCGCGGGCCGGTTTTTAGACCAAAAATCGACATTTTGGTCTCAACTCGAGGTTATACGTGATTGCCAGCAATCGCGCAGACGATTCCTCGCTCCAGCATGGGACAGCGGTTGGCATCAAACACTATTGTGGTGTCGGTTCTGTCTGCTAAGTGGCAAGCCCGAAATGTGGCCTCTATGGTAAGCCCTAAAACGGGTGCAGCCAGCGTGGTCGGCATGAAAAAATCGTGTGGTGCTAACTCTACTCACAGCCACCCACATGGCACCAAAACTTCAGGAAGGGTCTATCTGGGTACCATGGTCGACTCCTTACCTTGTGGGTCCGCCATGATGACGCTGGAGCAGACGGCGCCACGGGCCCTCAGCAGCCCAGCTTTGATCACGCTCTAATTATGTGCGATTCGGCCTGTTTCCGCCACTCTCGTTGGACCACGTTTCACAGTCCCGTTAGTTCTATTTTTGAAACCGTCTGAATTTTTTTCGTCGAAATTAGCTGTATTTGTCAGAGGAAACCTGCCACCTCCAGTGCCGCCTTAAGGAATTGTATTAATAAAACATGTGTTGTGTTGCCGAGACCGTGAATGATGTGTGTGTGTCTGCGGTCCGCCAAACTCCGTTTAGAAAATAAACGCTTTGCTCTTTATTTGCCATGAAACATGAAACAATAGTGACACCACATACCAACGGCGGAGACCTGCCTGAAAAACACCGCTGGCAAACAATATCGGTCGTTTCTGTCCCAAAGGTCGCCTCCGACGAACAGACACCTACTACCAATGTTGCGCAGATGGCCTCAGACAGAAAGATCCCCCGATTATCAACGTTCCACAGACCACCTCAACCAACCCATAGCCATTCGTATGGCATTCAGATGGCCTCAGACAGAAAGATCTCCGTTAGTCAACGTTCCACAGACCACGTCGGGCAACCCATAGCCATTCGTATGGCATTCAGATTACACGATAGATCTTGAGCGTGCGGACCCTCACCTGCAGTTTCCCATGCTTTCGGAACAGACGAGCATCGTTCTGGCGTCTCAATGCTATGTACAGCAACAGCAGTAGTCCCTAACACGAACTTCAACTTTGCAATGGGCATTGGTAAAGTACACCCAAGCGATAGATGCATTGGTACATTTTATTCTTTTCTTGTAACTGGACTAATTTGTTAGTAACAAATATCCAAATTTTCCATGATCGGTGCGTTGTTTTTTTCTCAGCGTCGTGCAATCGCTCGCCCCACCCTCGACGCCCCACCTCCACACAACATTCTCTCTGCTTTCCCTCAACCCTTCACCTCCGAATTCCTCACCCTTCCTTTTCGGTATGTCTCATTCGATGGGCGGTGGCAGCAGCAGCTCGGGGCGCGCCCGCTTGCCGCTCGGGGACCTCGGCAACGCGGGCTCCAACGCTGCCCGCGGCCGCTCCAAGAACAGAGCAACCTCCCGGAAGTACACCGAGGATGCTCCCATCCGCAGCAAGCGCAGCGCGCGCAGCTCTTCCACAAGCCGCAGGCAGAGGCTACGGTCCACAGCGGCAAGCGCCGAGAACTCGGACCCCGTGGGGAGCGCCATCGCCCTCGCCATGGTGCGTAATATTTGTCGTTTGCTTCGCCGATGAACGTATGTTGCCTTTAATGAGTGTTGATTGCCGAGTGTTTCCCGAGCGTCGTGGGGTTACCCAGCCTCCTCCGTGTGCCATGGACCAACCGCATGAAAATTCCTGTGCTCTTTTGTGCCGAACAACCCTCACCATTGTTCGCGTTCATGCCAGTTGGATGGTTTCTCTTGGCCCCTCCAACCCCCCCCCCCCCCACACAAAAA